AGAGGTACATGAAAACAGGACGTCTACTGCGTAGTCCCATATCCAACAGTGACCGTTTAATTGTGTGTTCTAAAACACTTGCACTTGGACCTGCATTGTATTGGGCTGTCAGCTCAGCCACTGTCTGGGGTTGATTTTGCTGTACTAAGCAGGACAGTCTCCGACGTCCTTTTTCTTTGATGACACATGGACGTCCAACACTCTGGCGTCTAGTGTTGATTTCACCATCATTTCTGCACTTTGCATGAATACCAACAACGGCAGATCATGAGCAGCCTACCAGTCATGCAATTTCGGAGGTACTCATTCTGAGCCATCACGCCATTACATTCTGCCCTGCGAGGGCATGGTTTTAACTGCCCGTCCCTTTATAGGGGGCAACGATGGCCACCTATTAGGTGCTTCCATAATGAAATATGCAACACTTCCGGCATTTGTATTGGCGCAAGGCTAATAGCTATTAAATAAAGCACCCGGCCAATAAAAAAAACTGCCCTCGAATCAAATTCGCTTAGATCAGCAGCTTTTCCCATCACTCACAAAAGTAAGTGCAAGAATGATTCCTTATCTTTTCCAGCAACAGTGAAATGCCATTCCCACTTAATCATGTCCTCTCCACGTCATCCAGACGAATTCATTGAATAATATGGGGATGGTCATGATGGTTTGGCTGATCAGTGTATAAATGTATGCTTTAATATGCATTTAACATTGTGTAATACTAATAAAGCATATATTTATTTCTGTTAAAATTTGCCGTTCTTCATAAAAAAATGAAAACCAGAAAAACTTAAAACTTTTAGTTTAGTTCCGAGTCAGACTGAACATCTGTGTTTCCATAGTAATAATAATTATCATGGAAATAGGACAAGTTTTAATTTTTTGTAATATTTTATGATTTTAGTTAAAATAATCGTTTTTGTGAAATAATATAATGTTTTTGAAACAGGCGCATGTTTAACAGCATGTGTCTTATAAAAGTCTAATCAGAGTACACTACAAAAATAATTTTTTACAAAAGCATCACAAAACAAGCTGTATAGCCTGAGAAACATCTAAAAGTTAAAAATCGGAAATTATTCCATTTTAAATACATATTAAAGTCTAATTGGTTGCATACGGGGGAGAGAGTTTTAAAAACTATCAAAATAAGATAGAGGATTCAGTTTCTTTCCAGTACTAGGAGTCTTTAATAGCAAAACAGTGAAGATATCTGATAAGAGCTTTTGAGCAAAGACCATAACACTGCTATATTTGTGATGCAGGAATAAAGGGGCTTAATTATATTGACAGGATAATAAACAATGAAATAAAGAGTGAAAGTTGAAAATATCAGTAGTATTACATAAATGTGTCTTTAATTCGCTGCATCTGATAAAAAGTTACAGTGAATGAAGATGCTAAACTAGGGTGGATAGTTTTTAGGAAGGTTTACATATTGCCTTTTTAATATAGTCCAAATCACATATAAACTTTTTAATTACTTACATTTAAATCCAACAAGGATCTGGGCATTTAAAAATTTTGATAACATATTTGATTTTTTTACCAACAAATGTGTGCCTAAATGTAATTGGGAATTTTTGCTCTAGAATCTCAGGATCCAGATCTTCAACAGCTTTACTGAAATCTCATAACTTTGAGTGAAGATTACAGTCTACTTTTTTTTATGTTAAATTTATTGTTTAGTTTTACCAAAATGCCGTTAATAGTCTATCTGTATTTCAAGAGAAAATATAGTGAATACCATAGATATTTGTGAATTTTTTTTCATATTATTATACTATAATATATGCTTCCATTATCAAAGATACACCTATTTTTGTAACACATTACCATCATCAATTCAGGGCTGTTTGCCAGAGTCTGCATCATCAGTTCACTTTTGTTTGTTATTGAACTTTAGAAACAATAACCATTTTCCTTAACCTAAAAGATTTATAATATGGCTTCTTGGCCAAAATTGTACTATTAACAATTAGTAACAGGAAGCAGCATGGGTGATCTCTGGAAATGAACCTTTTTTTAAACTAATATATCAGGGAGTTGAAAGAAATACGAGTAAGATCTGTTCAAGACTTTCAACAATTTTTTTTATTTCTTTCAGAATCTCAATAGAGCAATTTCAGGTTTCAAACAGACATGATTAAATAGAAATGAAATGTTAATGATTTCAAACAATAGTTTTTAATTTTTAGGTATATTCATCAAATGACTCGCACCCTTTTCTTTATGAAGAAATCAGAAAGATACATATCCGAAGCTGTTCTTTTTTCATTCATTTGAAGACTTTCCTTAGGCTTTCGAACAATTGTATACTGAATTGACAAGCGATAAGGGCAACAATATGTGTGTGGGAGAAATGCTTGAAGTAGTAAAAAATTCTGCAAAGAGGATGGGTTGTATTCAATGTAGCTGTGCACAAGAATGTTATTTTAGTGTTTGGAGAAAAAGGGGACATAATTTGGGGTAAGAATATACTTCCAACATGAATGAATTCCGGGAATTAAGAATTGTATGTTTTCTCTTTTTGTAGTTGTTTGATGTCGTGATTTTGAAGTGAGCATCGAAGGCTAAACTAAACTAAATCGCATTTGCTTTAGTTCAAAAACAGTTGATCTAGTGTTTTCTAGTAGTAAATATGGCTCCCGATAAAAGAAACAAATACAGTACTGGTTTCAAATGCAAAGCCATTCAGTTTGCGAAAGAAAATGGAAATCGTGCTGCAACAAGAATGTTTGGTGTTAGTGAAAGCTCCGCACGTGAGTGGAAGAAAAATGAAATCATAATAATTAATATGCCAAAGAATAAGTATGTTTTGCTGAAAGGAGTAACTAAATCTCCTATCCTAGAAAAAAAAAAGTGTTGCGAACTGGGTCATAGAAAATGCCCAGAATGGATTAATTGTAAGAAACAGTGTAAGTTCATTTGTCTTAAAATGAGAAAAAAATGAAAATGAAAACTTTAAAGCAGCTTTGAGTTGGTGTAGTTGATTTATGGCACAGAATAATTTAGTTTTGCAAGAAAAACAGTTTTGCAAAAGCTTACGAAAAATTTAGGCAACAAATTGGTAGGCTTTCAGAAGCATGTTTTTGACCTACGAAGACAAAAATATTATTTACTGTCTTATATTGGAAATATGGACAAAATTCCAATAATGTTCGATATGGTAAAAAAATAAGACATCATGTGAAAGGAACAAAAACTGTGCACATGACAACAATTGGTCGCGAAAAATCTTACCTCATCAATTGTGCTCTCCTGCTTAGCGGACGGTACAAATTTAAAATGAATGACAATGCCGAAATGTAATTTCCCAAATGGTGTATTCATTGATATTAAAAATATATATATATATAGATGGACGATAGCTATGGAAAATTATGGATAAGAAATGTTTGGCAAAAGCGTCCTGTTGCCGTAAAGAATACAGAAAGTCTTTTAGTTTGGGATATGTTCAGATACCATATAACGTATAATACAAAGAAATTGTTGAAAGAAACTGTACAAACATGCCGTGTGTTCCGTATGGATTAACACATTTATAGATGTCTGTAGCAATAAAACATTCAAAGAAAAAGAAAATTTAAAACGACGGTGGCATACGCGGTTGTTAGAATGGGGTAAAACATTTACAAAAGGAAGCCAAATACCGATCTAGAAATAGTGTGTGAGTGCGTAATAAAAGCATGGAATGAAATTAAAACCGATTTAATTCAAAAGTCATTAAGAAAATCTAGTATATCTAATAATCTTGATGGAACAGAATATGATTATTTATTTGTAGATCAGAGTAACAAAGATGATGAAGATGAAATAGATGTGCCTGAAATAGATGAAAATAGATGGTATAACGGAAGGCGAATATGGCGAATTTTGCTTGTTATTCATAAGCTATATCATTTCATTTAAATAAACGGCATTTAGGTACATATAGAAATTTAATTTATGTATGCTCATCTTTTGCTTATTTTTAAATCCGGTGTAAAACACGCATCCGTAAATTTCGATCTTATTTTCTGTATTAAACCCCTGAATATACGGTACATGTACTTGATTAAAAGTAATAGCATTGTTGTTTCAGTTTACCATTGTATTGCATTGATGGAAATACTTTAATGTAATTCTGATTTTCAAAATATGTTAGGAACTCTTCAGAATTTAATTTTAGCTATGCATTTATAAATAATAATTCATATATTAAGTTATGGCCTATTTTTCAGCAATTAGCGTTTCGTAAGCAAGCTTTTTTCCTCTGCGACATTATTACCTCGTATATTATATATTTATGCTCGATTCACTTGCATGCCAGCTTTGAGTGAATCTTCATGAATTATATGGAAGTGCTATAAAAGTTTTATGTGAGAAGATAATCCTTACAGAAATTTTGTAATGATTTATTGAATTCTGTGTATAAAGCAATTCAGTATATCCTCATTGAATTCGTTCTACTCAGAAAAATGCCTTTAGCGTAAGAAAGTAGTTTTAGATAGATTTCAATTTACTTAACCTTAGAAAATTAGAAAAAAAAAAAAATATTATTAGAATTAGGGGGGGGGGGAAGAAAGAAAGAAAAAAAAAAGAAAATGGTATTGGAATGTCCTTTAAAATTTAAAAACTTTCTCGCAACTTGATACACAAACGTATAATTTATGATATTGTTTTATGTGTGTATGTTGAAAACTGAATTAAAATTTTGCTGCGCATATGAATTAAATTCCCTTTCTTCTGATATTATTGTATTTCTGTAATTAATTATTTCTTGAGAGAAAAACTCTTATGAGCAATACAGAGGTGAACAATAAGGCAATTCACAAGTAATATCCCTTCCATTAAGGATTTGCAGTGATTTATGCAAATATAAACTGGAAGATATATCTTTATTATATTGTCGATAATCTTTATAGGAAAGATAAATGCAAATTTGTTTTCTGCGATTTGTTGTTTAGTAAGTTAATTTATCTACAGTTTAAAATGTTCTTTTCTTGTTTAATATTTAGGATGGGGAAAATTGAAGGTATTCGTACAGTTCAAAGATTAGCAAAGAACCACCCAGATATTCTTTTAAGCCAGTTACATCCAGTAGTTCTTGCCTTACTAACTGAAGTAAAGAACTTGCGATCATCAGTAGCCAGAGCAGCTATTCTTGCCACTGGAGATCTCTTCATTTTCCTTAAGAAAAATATGGAGCCAGTAAGTTTGTTTTTAATATATAACAATTATATATATTATACATGCTGTTAGTATATATATATAATATATTTTAAAATGAAATATGCATGGCTTGATATACAACTTTTTAATAATTTGACTGTATTTTCTTATATTTTCAAATGCTGCCGTTTATGTAAATTTATGATGGTGCAAAATATATGCTAGCATCAGTGATGTAATAATAGTAGATTTTTAACTTCAGGAGACATAGAATAATGGGAACTGTTGAGACAAAATCAGCCATGTATACAAGTCAACTGAGAACCATTTTTCTTAATGAATTTAGATTGAAGGAGTCTGAAAAAACTGCAGCTAAAGTATTAATAAAGTTCTTGGCAGAGAAACCATTTGGTGTTAGTCTGCAAAGTTTAGATTAATAGTTGGTTAGCAAAGTTTAGATCTGTAAAATAATCCCTTTCCCTTTTTCTATTTATCCTGTACTAGAAACCTAAGACTAAAGTAAACTGGATGTATACAAAGGAACAGCAAAGCTGTATTGAAAGAGATATGTTCCCTTCTACTTTTATCTAGCACGTATTCTCACTTGAAATGGCGTTGCTGTAAAAAATCTGCGTTGAAGTTGAAAATTTTGAATTAAGAAACCAGCACTAGTCAGTAATCATGGTGTCTTGATCTTTAAGGCCAATTTTATATTTAATGTTGTACTCGAAATGTAATAGATGTACCTACTAAGATTTGAATTGTGTCTTTTTTATCGATGTTATCTGGGCTTTTTTCTACGGATAATGATTTAGATTGTTTTCTGAACAAGAATTGCTTTAATACGTCTATCTTTTATGCAGTTAAATGTCTAATCGTTTCTAGAAATGCTGAAGTTTCCAAGTGCTGCATGAAAACCTGTTTATCTGTTGACAGCAATATGCTAATGCTTTGTCATTTCAAGCATTCATTGTATTCTTTTTAAAGGAAAGAAATATTTAATTTTCTTATTGATTTATAGTATTTTATTGTGTATTTGAAAATGCTGTTGTAATCAACAAAAATAAAATTCTTCAGTAAGAATTATTATTTTTTAATTTCTAGGATCTGGATCTTATAGCAAGTACACTTCTCAGTAAATGTGGTGAGACTGTTGGATTCATCCGTGAAGATATTGAAAAAGTTATGAATCATCTAATAGATGTTATAACCCCTTCCAAAGCAGCTCTTGCCATCATTGCTGGAGGTGCTAGGTAAACACATTTTGAATTATTGTATGTATTACTCTTGTACTAAAACTTCTTTTGCTTTTTATCTGTTTAATGAATCTTGATAAAAGTGGTAAGATTAGAAAATACTTCTATTTGAGGTGTGGTCTGGAAATACTTTTATGATTATAGAAGAATATTAATTATATTAAATCATAAAAACCTTATTGTTTAGTAATGAAGCAATGAAAATTAATGCTTATAATATGTAGAAAGTAATCATTGTCTATAGTGGCTGCTGACACTATGGATGAAGCTGTTGGTAGCCATACAACTGTAGTGGCTTGCTTACTGGATAGAAGATTAGCAAGATTGTGTTGAACTTGTAATTTTTATAAACTGCATTCTTCAGTAAATTTAATGTATTTGAACTAATTTGTGAAGTTTATAATTAGTGCATATGTTATGATAAGTGTAGAAAAGTGTTTGGCTGCCTGTTTAAAATTTTAGAACATGAATACATTGAGTTTTACTAGATGTGGTATGATATAATCTAATCTTGTGAAAATATACTACAAAAGAGACTAATCAACAGAGTAGAGCTCATTGAGGGCCTTATTTAAACTTAAAATTGGGCATAATAGCAACCTTAACCTGATTAATTAAGATATAGATATACCCACAGTTTAACTTGATGCATATTTGAGATAAAACTATTGATTTCAAGGGTGATTAGACACAGGTGTTAGAAATAATGATTATTCAAATATTACACTATGGCCTAGGTATAAAAAAAGTACAAATTCTTAATTGAATGAATGACTAAACATTTCAAAATATTCAGAAAAGCAAAAAGTTTACATTCTGAATTTTGTCATTATATTGAAATATTTATATTTAATAAACTAAATCCATAATTTATCATTTTTAAAAATTTCCATTTGAGTCTAATAATTTATCCCTAACTATAAGTGTTTGCATAATTTTTAATTAAATAATTTTCTTCGTGATTAAAAAAAATTTCAAAGAAACCTCTTTCAGATGTTAACTGTTTTCAAAATTTGTGGATTTCATATTCTGTCAGGATAGATTTTCATTATTTGAGGGAAGTATTTATTGCAAGTCTCATATGTGACTCCTTATCTTTATCAATGCTATAAATGCTTATATCTTCAACAGTTAAGTCTTCTATTTATTAAATGAGTGCACAAGTTTCCATGTGACATTATTTAAAACAAAATATTGTAACAATTCTCCCCCCTCCATCTTAAGAGGTTATTTTCATTAGAAGATTTCATGTTTTTATATCTTTAATTCTGAGGAACTAATTCATCAGCTAGTATGCCTATCATACTTAGCTTAAAACCATTTTAGGTTTTAAGGTGACATCCAAAATCAGATTGCAATTTTTTCTTAATGTTATTATTTTTTATATTTTCTAATTTTAAAAAATAATTTTTGACTTTTTGAAACTTAAGTGATAAAAACTCTTTGAGATATTAGACAATATATTATTGTTTTCAGCTGAGATTTTTTTTTTGTTTGTTTTGTTTTGTGTGTGTGTGTGTTAATGTGAATGTAAAAGGCAAAAAATAACATTTTGCTATCATTTATCATTCATTTGAAATATATGCTGTCAGGGAATATTTTCAGAAAATTGAAATTACAGTTTCATTTATATACTTTATGTTATATATTACTAAATTGAGTAAAATAATATTTGTACAATAAATACTATATTGCTTCTTAAAGTAGCAGAATTGGCTTGAGAATTTTATTGAAATTAACGTTATTAACTGGAGAAAAGCAAATTTGATCAATATTAAAATCTTCAAATAACTCCAATTCACCAAGCCTTTAAGATGTTCATGAAGCTTTTCATATTTACAAAAATTTATCGTCTTTAAAAAATGAAATTAATTCCAATCCACTTTCTAATGTTTTCAAAATTCTTACAACTTAGTTTTTTTAACGTTCCATTAGTTTTTTTGACAATTGGGATTTTGATCATTTTTGCTTCACTGCACCCAATGATTTCTGTATAAAATGATTGTCACTCTTCTTAGATTGCTCTTTTTTTTTTTTTTTTTTTTTTTTTTTGCTTCAGGAAAAAGGAATTTGTATCTGATTGTTCTTGATAGTTGTATTTAAAATGTATGGTAATGTTAAGTTTCTTTTTTTTGGGGGGGGGGGAAGGAGAAGCAACTTAATTTTAAATTTTATTTTAGCATGTTAGACTTCCTATTATATTATAGTTTCCCCCCCTCTTTAATTTTTAGCCACAGAAATGGTGCTGTACGCAAAGTTGCTGCTCAGTCATTGTTGGCAGTAGTTGAAAAAATGGGTGCTGCTCGAATTCTTACTTCAGCCAAAGATGTCACAGAGCGTTTGATACCAATAACAGCTCAGTTTTTAATGGATGGAATGCCTCTTACCAGGTACACTTCTGAGTTTTGTTGTATGTTGTAAGATGTAAGAAATATAAAAAAAAAATATTCAAATAATATATCAACAAAGTAATTAAATTATATATGAAGTTACTGAATAGAGATGTGACTAAAATAATTGATTTCTTTGCGTAAAAATATGAAATTGCTGTATCTATTACATAAATTAAAAAAATTTTATAAAATCATGTCATGCAGTATTCTCAGAATAATTTATGTGGCCTCAATTTTGCATTACGGTTTCATGTGAAAAAGAAGAATTTCAGAAAGATTTATGTGGTCTCATTAATTTTTTCTTCATTTTAAACTATACCAATATTATATAAATTTAAACTAAGGAAAAATTAAATTCAAAACCAAAACTCAGATTATGCACTGAAAGTTGCATTAATTCAGTGGTAATATTTAATAAATTCCAAACATCTTTGGAAATTAAAATACCAGTTTTGAAATAATCAATTGGCACCCAAAATTTGTTAATGCTACTGAGCTAAGAACTATTGTAAAAATGCTAAGAACTATTTTAAAAACATAAAAAGAATGCGAGAGCTCTTCCAAAATCCCGGTGTTTTTGCATGGCATTGGTTTGTCTGGGATTTTGGAACAGCTCCTTATATCCTTGTTAATTTTTTCATTAACAATTTTGATTTTTTGGGAGTGCATTTACCAATTTATTATTCTGAAATTGAATATACTTGAATTTGCTTAGATTATGTTTTGAGTTTAATATATGTAGACATATTTCAGTATGAGAATTATTTTAACTGTCAAGAATTTTACTTGATTTACTTAACTGAGAATAATTTTGTCTTTAAGTATTCTAAAATGATAGAAAATCGGTAATAGTTGATTAGTCCATCATGGAGCACCAGAAATACAACAGGGCATGGGCTTCACGAGCTTGTTGAAGTATTTTGTGAGCAGAGAACAATATAATGTTTACTGCAAAGCAGTGTACCATTAACATTCTCTTGTATTCTGATGTGTAGAATTTCTGTATTTTACAGGGTGTTGCTTGGCATCCCAAACACATTTAATAATATTGAGATCTGGTGACAATAGCCAAGACACTAAACTCAGATTAATGTTCTTCTAATTTGGAACATCTAGTATTGTATAAAGGCATATTGTTCTATTAGAAGAGGCAAACTAATCTAAAAGAAAAAAAAAAGCAGCATAAATAAATATCATCATAAAGTCCATATATAGTATTCACCTGTCCCAGACAGTTTTATATTCAGGGAATTCTCAACATAAGGCCTATTATAGAATTATCTGAGGTTACTGGGAAGTGCTACTTAGGATGAAAAACCCCCAGTCTACATACAAATGTGTTTAACATTCGTATGTAGACAGTTATAGACACACTGAACCTACAGAATGCTGATTAAATAAATGTCTTACAATTAAAAATAAATACTAACCTCCTGTTCACATTTAGAATACAAGTTTCTTGAATTTTCTTCTTTACGTGGATCTTCCTATCTGTATGAAAAGCTGGAAATATGACTCTTACAACCAAGTTACGCCATTTCAGTATGAAATATTCCATGGAAGTTTTCCAAGCTCAAGCAAGGCACATAAATTTGTATCCAGCATCCATCAAGGATACTTGGCATAAGTTTCTAGAAACCTATATTTTTTTAAACCTCCACACTGAATTCTAATATTTCTTGAGAATGTGGTACATGCTTGTAGCATGAATTGGATCTTTTAAGCTGGCACTGGTCATGTTTGTTCTTTTTTTAATTGCAGCCCTCCTGTCAAAAATTTGAGATTCTGCTGAAATAGTTACATTACATCACTGAAATAGCCATATGTGAAAAATTGGAGCTTTGCTTGTACTATATTTGAAATGCTATGACTAAGCGCATTAAGTTGTACTGAAAATTACTTAATTGTGATAACTTGCCATTTTCACGAAAGGTAACAGCTCTAGAAGTTTCCAGAGATTGCAGCTGTTTATATACACATTGGCATAACTAGTGACATGCACAGATACTGTTGCTATATATTCTACATAATAAAAGTTCTGGTATTTTGTTCTGAAAAATAATAAAAGACCTTAACAAAAAGCAACAAATTAATTATGCCATAACTGCAATAAAAGCTGTTGTGAAACCTAGAAATAAGTTTCAGAAATAAAATACAAAAAGCAAGCTGCTGTAAAGGGTCAATAAAGAGCTAAGTTTGCAAATATGTATTGATATTATTCTATAAAAGTAAGAATACATGGACAAAGTAATAGATTGTAATCCTGAGTATATTCGTACATCCCAAAAATCAGAAACTAACCCAACAGAACATTTGAATTTGAGAAAATTTTCTGGATGCTAAATATTCTTAAGCAGTGAATAAAATAAATATGTAGTAAATAAAAACTAAATCTCAAGAAGAATAATGGTTTACATGGGTCTTTCTGCAAATCATTATTACATCTTGGGAATTTTTTTTGGGGGGGGGCTGATGGGTTATAATTTGCTCCTTATTTTTTAGTCAAAAAGATAATTTACATTCTGATAAGAATTACAAAAAAGAGAATTTATGGTAAATTTCAAATCATAATAACAGGTTAGTTAATATAAAACCTTGCATACTAGAGAAAACAAAATGTGTATTTAGTTTCAAAATAGACTGTTATTTTTCATCTAGTCCATCATGTCTGTAATAGAAATAACTAAATATTTTTAATTATCTGTTTATAATCCTTAAATTGCTTTGGATGTCTGAAATCAGAGTTTTTGTTTCACATAAAGTACAATTAAAAGATGCATTGTTTGTTTAATGATTGATGATGGATTATATTAGAAACATAATAATTTCATGGTATTATTAAATGCTCGAAAAATTTTAAACTCTTTCTTCTGTTAGGTATTATGGTAGACGAATTTATCATTTATTAATGCAACACCCTGCGTTTGACAAATTATTGCTGAGACATGTCCAACCCAGTACACTGCGCAACATAAACAGTATTCTAGATTCAGTCAGAAAAAAGGTAAGTGGAATCATTGTTAGTATTTTTCAAAGAAAATGTAATACAGAGATGGTTCACACATTGTTTAGATGATTTTCATTGTATTTACAGAAATATTTTACCTAAAATTTTTGTGTTTTAAATGTTCCATTTGATAACCCTTATTCTTCACTATCTTTTTACACCGTAATTTACAAGACTTTAATTTACAAGACTATTTAACTTTTTTTTTTTTTTTTTCCCTGAAGAGGTATTTTATTCCATTCCTCTTGAACAGCTTTCCAAAGTCAAAGGAGGGTTGTAGGTTGACGTCTGAACAATCTGCTTTTTAAAAGTCCAAAAGCGCAAAATTCCGTGGTTGATACATTAGGAGATTTAGCAAGGATATGAGTGAAGGGCCTTGATACAATTTCCATTTTTTCCAGGAAATTAACAGTGGATTTTGATGTGTGGCTGCTTACTTTGTCTTGATGCAATTCTACTGATTGATGGCACTGTGGGTAAAGAGAAGGTGTTTCATATTTGAAAACTGGGCATAAAATATGTTCCTGATAATATGTGAAATTGTCTTAAACAGTTTTCTGCTCTCTCTTTTAATTTTTATTTGTCGCTGTTTCAAAAACCAACAAAAAATTGATTATCCCTTTGGAAAACTTTCTTTAGATTCTTTGAACCATGTTTTAAGAATTGTTTCTTCTCTTTGATAATAATAAATGGATCTCATTTTATTGTGTTCATTTAAAATATACCCAAGATTCATCTATTGTGACAACATTTTTCAGTTTTGTCTAAGTATTTGTTTCTCAGAGCGAATTCTGCAGAGCGTTTTGCTTTCGGCGATATGTCATGGAGAAAAACTATGCAAATTATATTTTTTTGCCTTTTTAAGATTAAAATCAGCAATAATCATGTTATTTATAGTTGACAATGAGCATTTTAATGATTTTTCGACTGTCCTTTGACTTGGCAGATTTCCTTTTAACATTAAAGATCTTACTCTTGCAACATTCGAAACATTTCGTTTTTTTACTTGGCTGTGCATTTGGAACAATTTTTCCACTTGAAGCCAATGTTTTTTTTCCTCTCTTTCTTGTTGACAATATTACCTATCATAGCTTTATATATAGAAAAAACATGGTTTTGCACAGTGGTTTTTAAATAACTAGATACGAATAATTTTTTTCGGAAGGAGCACGAACATAGGCTATCCACTGCTTCTTTAAAAGCGCCATTTTGCATGAAAGCAAAATTGTCAAATAGCAGACATAATTTACACTTTCAGAAATATAGTTGCAGCTAAAAAAGATTTTTCCAAGCAGATGATTTTTTTATAGAAAAAAAAAAAAAAAAAAAAAAAAAAAGTGAAAACAGCCTCTGTAAATGCATAAAATGAATAAATTCAGTTGAATTTTTCTTAAGCATTTTAAGAATAAAAATTTTTTTGAGTTTGGGATGCAAATACTTTATTGCACACTATAAAACAGGTGCATGTGAATAACAACTCTGTAATAGTTGAAAATATTTTGCATAATATAGTTTTAAATGTTTTTATGTTACCAAAAATTAATTAATTAAAAATAAAAAAATAAAACCAAACAATTATGTACTATGTATTTATGCTATTAAAAACAGCTTTCATGAATTAAAATGATTCTACAAATGTTCATAACCAAAACTACCAACTACGAGAGGTATTCAGAAAGTAAGGAACGTTTTGGAATTAAAAAGAAACTAAGTACAAGAAAAAAAAATATTATATGCATCAGAAAGAGCGACTAAAATTCTACTTTTCTACATAGTCACCAAACAAATTGAGGCACTTATCATAGCAGTGGACAAGCTTTGAAATTCCTTCGTCATAGAATTTTGCCGCCTGCAATCTCAGCCACTCAGTGACACGCACCCGCAGCTCCTTGTCATCGTCAAAGTGCTGTGTTGCTAACCAGTTCTTCATTCTTGGAAACAAGTGAAAATAAATAGGTGCAAGTTCGGGACTATAGGGCGGATGAAGAAAAACTTCCCATTTGAACGAATTAAGGAGTTTTTGAGTGCGATGTGCCATGTGAGGTCGAGCATTGTCATTCAAAAACAAAATTTTGGACATCAACTTTCCTCGGTGCTTGTTCTGAACTGCTCTCCTAAGGTTACGCAAAGTTTGACAGTACTGCCCAGAGTTTATTGTGGCACCACGTTCGAGAAAATCAACTAGAAGCACACCTTGCCTATCCCAAAACGTAGTCGCCATAATCTTCCTTGGTGACAAGGTTTGCAAACATTTTCTTAGTCTTTTGGGGGAACTTGTGTGCCCCCACTGCATGGACTGTAATTTTGTCTTACAATTCATGTATCTCACCCACGTCTCGTTACCAGTTACAATTCGACCCAGTAATGAATCACCATGTCTCTCATAGGCCTTCAGAAATGTCAAAGCTGCCCCCATTCGCTGACCTTTATGGTGGTCTGTA